AGCACTAAGGAAAAACAAACAAGCTGGACAAATTTAACATAACAAGTTCTGACCAGAGGGTATCCAGCCATGTAATATGAAAAATAGAGACATTTATTGAAGAGGATATAAGATACAAGAAACATTGTACATAGGACAATGATGCCTTAGTCCCCTTCAAAGTAGGCATCTTGGGACCTCATAGAGTTCTTCCAATTGCCATCAGCTGCCCCTTCATATTTTCCTGAATCTAAACTACCATCTGAAATCTTTTCCTTTTCAAAGGTGGTTTTAGTTTTTGAAAAAGCCAGAAGTCACAGGGCACCAAATCTGGGCTTTAGTGGGGCTGAGTCACCTGGGTGATTTGATGGTTTGCCAAAAAATTCTGCACGAGATGTGATGCATGAGTAGATGCATTGTCATGATGAAGCTGCCAGTCACTAGTTGACCACAGATGTGGCCTTTTGAATCATCCAAATAGTTTCTACAGAGGAATGTTCAAGCTTAACACAAAATTTGATGCAGATTCATTGCTCTACTCACTCAGTCATTTTGAATGCCACAGCCACACAGTGCACATGCTCACTCAACACTGTCTACTGCCCCCACTGACTAGTACAGTGAAGGTATCATTGTTCACGCATGTGCATTCTGGTTCACTCTCCTTGGCTGCCAGGTTATGTCGATGTGGCCCAAACTGTTCTTCTTATATTAACAATAGCTGGATCTTTTCCTAGACAGACCTCATACTCATACTGCTAAGTGATGGCCTGTTTTAAATAAGCAAAACAAAACAAAACAAAACAAAAAACACAAAATATTTGTTCCCTTTACTAATTCCCAATACTTGTCACAACACTAACATTCTTAGTATTTCAGGTATGGGGTTTTTCCCACACTAAGCATTTCTCAGATTCTCCAGATTCCATCTGGTGTCCTACAATTTAACTATCCACCATAAGATGGCGTTAAACCCCACATGTTAAGGGCTCAGTCTCACAAGACTGCCCCCCTCTTCTTCAGATACCAATTGCAAGTTCAGGTTTTCACCTATGCTTCTGACCAGCTGGCTATACAATGGAGGTTCACATGACCTTCTCCTTGGGTTTGATTAATTTGATAGAATGGCTCACAGAATCTAGAAAAACAGTTTAATTGCTAACTTATCAGTTTTTGACAAAGGAATAGCTACATTATAGGCATATAAGGTGAGGTTTAGTAAGGTCCTGAATATAGAATCTTCTGTTCTTCTGGAGTTTAGGGTACACCACTCTCTCAGCTTGTGGATGGGCTCTTACTTAACAACCTGGAAGTTCTCTTAGCCCCATCCTTTGGGATTTTATTGAGGCTTCGTGGCATATGCATATTCGATTAAATCATTGGTCGTTGGTTATGATTCAACTTCCATTCCCTCTCCCCTCTTTGGAGGTCCAGGCATTGGGGCTGAAAGTTCCAACCCAATAAACACGTGGATGGTATCCCTGGCAACCAATCTCTATCCTCTATCCTGTCAAAAAGTACCTCCTGACCAAAAGCTCAGAAGTGATTGAAAAAGGCTTGTTGTGAATAACATGACATTCCCTTTGCCTTCATCACTCTGGAGCTTTCTCAAGTATTGGAGCTATTTGAGAACAAAAGACTACATATAACAAAAGATTATGCCATTGCTCTTATTGCTTAGGACATTACAAGACTTTTACTAACTCTCTGCAGGGACAAAAAGGAAACCAAATACGTATTTCTCGTTACTCAAAAAACAAAGTTCAGCTGAGTAAATTTGAAGACCTAATTGGCTTTATCTGGTTATTCATAAATCAGGCAGTCTTCCATCTGGTAACCAGAAAAGAGCTTTAAGGAGCTCTACAAAATGGAAGACTTTTATTGGCAGAAGGAAGAAGGAACTAACAAAGAGCAACTTATTTCAGGCAAGGTCACTTTCCTTTAGGGCAAGACTGGGGGTCTGTCTAGCAGATGACCATACTAGTGCTGACCAGGATATTCCAGACTCACTGGTTAAGATTAGATTCCTGGGAGATGCTGAAATTGCAATAAAGTTAGGTGTTAAGTCTCAGTTTGGTGACTTAGACTTAGCACAAATGACTCCATTTTGGTCCTATTGTCTGTTTTTTAACATGACATATCACAGACTCACAAAGGACAGACCAAAAAGTGTTCAAACTATATGCTTTATGATTCTATTTATATAAAATAAGTAGGCAAAACTAGTCTATAATGTTGTGTCTACTGTTTACTCCAGTGGGTGGAAATAGAGACTGGAAAGAGGTATAATTAGTAATGTTCTGTTTCTTGATCTGGATACTTGATTCATGGGGGTGTTTAATGTAAAACATTTAGTATAATGAGCATTTATGATTTTGAATTTTCTGGATTGTTATACTAAAATTAAATTTGTATGGAAAAAAAGAATAAAGAGAAGAAGAAGAGAAACAGGGAGAGAGGGAGGAAGAATGGAAATAAAGAAGAATGGGAGGGAAAGAAATAGAAATAGTAAGAAACTATAATGGAAAAATGAAATAGCATTCACAGTAATCTTTATAATTTATTGGAATAATTTTCAAGAGGAATATATCTTATTAAGAGAACTAACATTTTAATTGAGAGATATGAAATAGATAAGAATTTGAATAGACATACTGTATTCTTGGATAAAAAAATAAATTTTATAAAGCTGTATCTTCTTTCCAAATTCATGTTTGGTGAAATTTCCAGTTAAACTTCATTGGGATATTTTGAGAAATTGACAAAAATGTTAATGAACTTTACCCAGAAAAATAAATGTGTGAGCATAAGGATGAAAATGTATTTAAAATACAGTGGGGATAGTCTGTAGGTTAAATGTCCAATCAGATATTTGGTATAATTTAAATCAGCAATAATTAAGTGTTACTTAGCAAAACAATTGATGAAATGTTGCAGCAAAATAATAACTTGAAACACAGCAAATATATTAAAAATGGATGTGTGATAAATGTATTTAAGAATTTAACACATAATAAAAGATACTGTGTCACAGACTACCAATTTGAAAGAAAAACTTACTTATCCTTAGCTTCACACAGTACATTAATGTATTTTACCTGGGTTATATAGTTTTATATTGAAAAGCATTGTCTTAGCTGTGGATTCTCTAACAAAATGCGATAGCCTGGGTGGCTTAAACAAGACATTTATTTCTTACAGTTTTGGAGCCTGGGAAGTCCCAGATCAAGGTGCCAGTAGATACACTTCTTGCCCTCTTCCTGGCTTGCAGATACTTTTCTGCTGTGGCCTGAGGGGAGTCACTGGTCTCTCCTCTTCTTACAGGGCACTAACCCTGTCTTGGGTGCTCTGTCCCCATGACTTCATCTAAACGTAACTGCTTCCTAACTGTGTTAAAAGGGTTTTAACACATGAATGGGAGGGCACAATTCAGTCCATAACAAGCATAAATTATTAAAGTAAGGAGAAAAATAATATTAAACATTTATTAACTTTCCAAAAGGAACATAGTGCTTAAAAATACAGTCATCAAAGGGTGATACATTTGACTTCAGAATATTTTAACATTTTGCATTCAAATCAATTCAATAAATATTTATGGAAGACTCCTTAAGGTACAGACAATATGCCAGTGTTGGGAACATGACTGTGAATAAGGGAATCAATACATGCACAGTGTCTTAGAGGGAAGAAGAGTTGCAGAAGCTTCCTCAAGTGCTCTCTACAAGGTTTCCTGGAGAAACAGCACCAGTTAGCTAATCAGGTATTGGATCAAAATTGCATTTTGGACAAAGAAAATGTTTACAAACGATTAAACTTTGAACTGTTTATGTTATACCATAAATTAAATAGAACACACAGTATTATGTTGTCTCCAGAAAAAAAAACACTAACCTACAAGAAAATATACTACAAGAAAAATAATCTACAAGAAAATATACTGTATTATTTGCAATTATTATGATGACAGTGTAGAATTATTATTAAACACTTAATTATTTTATACTGTTTATGGATTTTAATAGAAATAAATTTACAATGAAAAAGTAATTATCAAACTGATATTAGAATAGTCTTTTTTTTCAGAACAGTCTTAATCTGTAATTTTAACAATAAGCAGTTTGAAAAAGTTGCTTTTCTAGTTATATTTTTATGGTGGTAAATGTCACTATAAATACTTTATGATAGACAGGTAGAAAGAGAACTTTCTTTGAATACTGTTTGAGTTTGTTTCCTGTACTGATTTTTACTGGCTAGTTTCAGTCTCAGTAAATCTGACTTAAAATTCAGTGTAAGTAAATGTAAGGCAAGTTTATAGAAATAGTATGTATATTAACTCATATTTAAGAGTTAAATTTGTTGTGTTTGCCATTTTCCTGTTTTTCTGTGGACAGTATCAAAATATGACAAACTGCCCCTCAAATACAAAAGTGTTCAGCAGTTATTGGGGACTCAGAAAAGATGTAGTTTAAGTGCCAACTCTGAAGCTTTCTTGTTATCTAACTTCAGTAAATTACTAATTCCCTGAATCTCCATTTTTTAATTTGTAAAACAGAAACAGTAACATCTTATTTGAGGACTAAGTGAGATAATTTCTATAAAGCACCAACCCAGTGCTTTATATTGTGTGCTCGATAAATGGACATTTTGTCTGTTTTGTTTGCTAAGCTTTAACCAATAAGAGAAAAAAAATGGGGGAAGGAATAAAGTAATTACTGTTTATTAAGCACTGCTAAAACTACTTAACTTGTATGAATTTAATTATTTTTTTTCACAGTTCTGCAGAGGGCTTGAACCGCTTGTCCAAAAAGCAAGCTGTGCTCCTTGGCTGAGCAGTGACATTAAACTTGGTTACCTGACCCATGTTCTTGATGACTTGACTAGTCTGCCTCTGATTTATGAGTTAGAGGATCAGAGTAAGGTGGCTATTTGTGTAGTTTAACAGGTATAAATAATAGTGAAGAGGTAACTAAGAGACTCTTTTAACAGATTTGCATTTCTTTGTCCCCTTTGCATCTCAGCACGTGGCGAATGGTGCTCTGGAGGGCCTCCTGTGATCACATCTTTGGGACTCTTTGTTGACGGAATCAGCAGACATTACATTTACTCAGATGTAATCCCAGATTAATGGAGTTGTTGCAGAGCTGATAACACGGCTCACTAAGACTGGTAAGAATTTTAAAATGCATTTACTGTTTTGCAAGTGATATTTGATGTCGTGACCAGTTCTGAAGTATTTCTGCCTTATTATAAATTGGAAAGTTTTAGTACCTGAGTAGATGCATGGTGGAGGGGAAAAATAGTTTGCCACAAAAAGGTACACTGATTAAAATACTTATGAGTTAAGCATACACTGATGTATTTAGAGGTATTTTTATTACTTATAAAAAATACAGTGAGTTGACCTTTAGTGCAAGGGGAATATAATGACATAATTTTCTTTTAAAATATAACTACAAACAGTTTTATGAAACCTGTAATGGCTACAGTCTATGTTGTTTCTACTGCTATAAAACCAATAATTGTAAAATGGAAAGGCTATTTCCTTGAAAGTGGTTATGATGATGTTTATGCAAATCTTTCCCTGAGCTTTCTTTATCTGTCTTTCTAGTGCATACAGTCTTACTTTTGCCTACCTTCTCTTCAATGTCAATATTTTCCGTTCCAATATACTAAATTTTCAGTCACTCCAGGTTAATGAACAAAACAGACTTGGTATGGGAACAATGGGGACAACTGTAATTGAACAGCAATAGGAAACATTCTAAATAACAGAGACTGGGACTGGGAAAAGATGGTAACACTGAAGCAGATGGAAAAATAGGAGTAGTTACTGCAGGGAGAACATGGGGGACATGTAGAGGATGAGCAAAGGTGACTCTCCATCTCTTAGAAGTACACTGCAGTAGCTGCCATGAGGGCAGAAGCTAAGGGATGAAAATAGGTGCTTTGGCCATGACAGGAGTATACTTGGGTGGACAGATGTGGAGAAAAAATCATCCAGAGGTTCTCCTTCTCAAGCATGCTAGCTATTCTGCATCTCAAATACATGAGATTGAAGGTGAGTCACCTCTTAGATATAAATAAAAAGATATTTATGGACTAGACCTCCTGGAATGCATATTCACCTGCAATGTGTCACAACTTTTCAAGTATTTTATACACAATATAGAGATGGGATATCCTCAGAGTTTCTCCTGAACAAAGCCTGATAAATGGAAATGGGCAAGTTGAATGTCTGTGAATGCCCCGGCTTATGACATGATGGCTGAGAGGCTATGGGAGCAGATCAGTTTCTCTAGTTTGAACTCTTATACTGGCCACATTTTGGCCATGGCTTCCAGGGTAGCTGTAAAATTAAATGAGCCAATTTACAAAGAGTGCTTAGTATTGGACCTGGCACACAATCAGTAAGTATTCGATAAGTGGGTGTTATTATGTTAAATGGTTGTAGAGACATTTATAAGGGCTTTTGTAACTTTGCCAGTCCTTAATACAATTTTCTCTATGAGGACTTTAATTTTTCATCTATAAACTGTCTTACTATGTTGAATTTTCTTAATTTTAGCTAGCCAAGTAATGGAAAGACACTACTAAATTTTTCAAGATTAAATTTTTGATTTTCAGGTCTGGCATGTGTTCATTTTTGAATGGCATTGATATTTTAAATTTAATAATCTCAAACATACCATTTTCCAGCATCTTGTTACTGGATAAATTATCTGTGACTTTTCTAAATTTTCTTGTCTTTGAAATGAGAACAATAGAATAGCTATCTATGGGAATTTTTATAGAGATCAAATAATGTAAGATACAGTATGTGACACAGATGTACCCAATGCATGTAAGCTATTACTAATATTACTACTGTTATTGTTATAAATATTCTTGTTAAACATCTACCTCTGGTTTTATTGCCAATGCTACCAGTCTTTACAGAACTTGAAGCAGGATGTTCCAAAGAATTTTTAAAAGTAGATATATTAATATACGCAAAATCTCAGGTCACTTTTTAATTTTTGAAAACATGACTCATCATCTTTTTATACTTTCAACGTACAATATATTTAGTTTAAACACAGATATAATTTCACAGTTTTACTAAGCTATCTCCAAGGACAAATGCTTTTAAAACTTCCTAAACTTAATTCTTTCCAGAGGACATTATTAACTGCTACTTTAAATTGCTTGACATTTTGATGATTATTAGTATCAAAGTTTGGCTTTTCACCCTTTTAACTGTTGACTCCACCTACTGAGTCTATAAAGTCATAGACAGAACAAATACTAGGAAATCAGGATGCCATCACTTTCTACTGCCTACTTTATCTAATCTTTCTAACTTTGTGCTCAATCTTACATTCACGGTTCTGAATGCTTAGAATTTCATTCTGTAATTGAACTTTAATGCCTAAATTTGCTTCAGATTATATTCACCATCTTAGTACAGTACTGACTTTGAAATAATACTGAATTTTAAGAAACTGATAATATTGGCCCTCTCATATTAAGATCTGATATTGACCATGTAAAGCTAGGTACCAGAGTTGATAACAAATGTTTTCTATGAATTATTATGAACAATAAAATCAAAACTTCCTTTTATATTGTCTCTGAAGTTTTTCATTTTTTGGTTTATTTCTAAAATGGTTTTAAGAGTCAAGGAGCATATATAAAGGACCCCTAGTAATGGACAACAGGGTGGGGACTGACTGAGGAAGTGGTAGGGGGCAGGGGAGAGCAACAGGGAAAAATTGGGACAACCGAAATTAAACAACAGTAAATCAGTAAGTTAACTGTATGACCAAGCAGGAATACTGGTATGTCAAATACTTCAATGTGCACCTAGATATTTCTGACATATGTAGAATTAACCAGTAATCAATAGAATGAAAAGTAACACATTAATATATAATGTATTAATTATATAATATATTAGTGTATTAAAATAATATATATTACTAATATATATCATTTAATGTATGAATATATAGCATGATATAAAATATATTTATATTATATAAATACATAAGATATTTATATCGATATATTTATATAGTAATATAAATATATCTATATTATCTATAGTAATATAAATATATTACTATATATAGTAATATAAATATATCATTTTGTGTTATACATATAGTATATGCTCTATTATATATAGTATATTTATATAATATGCAATATATCGACATTAACATAAATATTATATATAAATACTTATATATAAAATATATACTTACATTAATTTATATAAAATATGTATTTGTTTATATTAATATAAATATTATATAACACATCAATTTATATTTACACAAAATATATTAATGTAAGATATATTAATATATTGATATAAATATAGGATTAATCAATATAGCTAATTTACATTTTTATGTAATCTAGGCCTAAGTGAGATTTTTTTATAAGAACAGTTTAAGTAAATTATTTCACTGAAGCATCTACGAGTATATCATCAGGTCATTCAGAGTTGGAAATGAGGTAATGTTAGACGATTTGGATAAATTTCATAATTATTTTTCTCTGCTGTTATAGTATCTTGATAAGTAAAAAGACTTATGCAATTGTATGTAATAGTTACCAAATTTTTCAGACCATAAGATGCACCTAGGTTTTGAGGAGAAAAATAGGAAAAAAATTTTGAAGCAAAAAATGTGGTAAAATATTTAATAACATATATAACATAATATTTCACCAATGTAAACAGAACTCAACAGTAGCATTAACAACCATTATTCCTCCCAAATTTGGGAGGCAGGGGAGTGCGTCTTATAGTCTGAAAATATGGTAGTAACTATTTTCATTGGAAAAAGGAAAACTTTTAAAACCATTTTGCCTTAGTGGTGTAAAGTATTTTTCCCTAGTTTTGAAATGTAAGATCTTTGAGTGAGATTGATCTAAACATTTAATGTATTTTTCTATTTGTGTCCTTCAATATAATCTTTTATAGTTCAAAAATATAAATAAGATATCCAAAAAGTCTTATGCCTACCATTAGAACACAAACACAAAGTCAGAAGTCCAACCAATGGAGACAAAATAGTCTTTTAACACTCTGTGCATTACTTATTTCTTTTACAATATAAAGTACAGTTAAGTGCTAAAGAGCCTTGACTTTGGACTAAAAAAAAAAAAGGTTTTTGACTTTACCCCTATAAATTATTGAGTCATTTACCTTGGTCCTAAGTCAAGACCAAGTTTAAAAAAAATTTTTTAAGCCTTACCTGAGGATATACTTATTGATTTTAGAGAAAGAGGAAGGGAGAGAGAGAGAGAGAAACATCAACCTCCCATATGTGTCCTGATGGGGGATCAAACCTACCACCTAGATATTGTCCTGACCAGGGATTGAACATGCAACCTTTGGTATATGGGACAATGCTCCAACCAACTGCCCCACTCTGCCAGGGCAGGATGAAATATTTATCTATATCTGAAAACTATCTGCTGGTGTCAAGAAATATAGTTCAGACAGGTCAACTGATGCCTTTATAAATTACCTTTCCTGGTTACATGTAATAATGAGCTCACTCTAGTTTCTGATTTATATTACAAAATTTACTTAGTTTTAACTGACCTCATCAGAACCACTGAAATTATTATAGTCTTTATAATTGCTTTAAATTTCTCTGCCAACAGTGACAAAAAACTGACTCTTCAAGACTCAATAATCCAACATAAGTTTAAAATTTAACAAAAATAAAATATTAAATGTCAATAGTTGCCATTTACTCTGAATGCACATGTTCTGTCAATAAAGAAACACAGGTGATTCCCTGCTGAATGAAAGGAGACATGCCTTGACATAATAAATAATAGTGGGATGTCAAGTCCACTAAAAATGCCTAACTTTGGAATTTTTAAATATTTTAACACTTTTGTATTTATACTCTTAAAACTCTTATAAGAAAAGTTTCCACTGGTAGTAACAGCGTTCATATATGCCATTTTTATAGAGCCTTGCAGTTCACAGGCACACTTTCAAAGCATTATCTCATGTAATTCCCACAACAGCTCAGGGAAGTCCTTTTTCTTATTGTTTTGTCATGCTTTCAGGAAAAATAAATTAAATCTCAAGAGTCCAAGAAAATGAGTGACCTTGAATCACAACCTGGTCAACACTTTTCTGGATACTGGAGATACAT